GATATCCCTGGGGAGTCGCTGAGGCTGGAGAGGAAGCTGGGAGCCGGGCAGTTCGGGGAAGTGTGGATGGGTGAGAGCGAGGGGGAAGCACCTGGGAGGAAGGTGAGGGATGGGAGAGGAGGTGGAGGGAGCGACCTGTGTGAGAGGAGCACGGGGAAGTGGAGGTGGCCCTGGCCTAATGTCAGGACTGCTCAGGGCCGGGTGCGTGGGGACAGCCCTGGGCTGCACGTGGTCCCCAGCCCTCACACAGCATATCCAGCTGCAGGACCGGGTGCTTTAGCTCCAGAATCCAGTGCTCCCAGTGCCTGGGCTGGAGCAGGCTGGGGACAGTCTGTGGTGTCACCCCACAGCTACCTACAACAGGCACACCAAGGTGGCCGTGAAGACGATGAAGCCGGGCAGCATGTCCGTGGGCGCCTTCCTGGAGGAGGCCAACCTGATGAAGACACTGCAGCACGACAAGCTGGTGAAGCTGCACGCCGTGGTCACCAAGGAGGAGCCCATCTACATCATCACCGAGTTCATGGAGAAAGGTGCTGCCCACGTCCCTGAGCGGGCACCGGGGGCCAGGCCGAGCGTCGGTGCCCTGGGGAAGGGGCAGAATCGAACCCTGCGGCGTCCCTGGGCTGGGCTGTGGGCTCTGCACCGGCCCCTGGGGTGCTGGGGAGGGTCTGGCTCCTGGCTCTGCATGTCTGAGCACTCGGGCAGGGTGCTGGGCACGGTGCTGGGCATGGTGCTGGGAGGGGGGATGCAGTGACAGCCCTGGGAGAGGGACAGGGAACAAATGAGGAGTGTTCTGCAAGGCAGGAGGGAGCCCACAGCAGGGCTCACCCCTCTGTCCGCTCCCTGGGAGGAGAGAGGAGTGGGGTGGGGTGGAGTGGAGGATCAGAGGAGTTTCCTGACCGAGTCCCTGTGTCCTGCTCGGCTCCCCGGGACCCTGTTCCACCCTGCTGGTGGGTGCAGGCTCAGCCCCAGCACCCTTCCCTGTCCACAGGGAGCTTGCTGGATTTCCTGAAGAGCGCCGAGGGGAACAAGCAGCCACTCCCAAAGCTCATCGACTTCTCTGCCCAGGTGAGGAGGGAGCAAACCTTCCCCAGCTCCCCATTCTGACCTGCCCCTCATAAGGATGAGCGAGGGGATCGAGGAGACCAAGAACTTCCCTGGGGCTTGGGCAGTGCCTGGTTTGACACTGGGGGTGCTGGGGATGCAGGGAAGGAGCCAGATTTCCTTGTGGCAATGCCCTCGTGCCCCGTGGGCAGCCAGCTGCCTGTTCACCATCCCTGCCCAGCTGCCTGCATGGGAGTAGGTGATGTTGGAAGAACAAGGGTAAAAGATTTGTCAAGAAGTTTCAGCTCAGGGGAGACCTTCTGGCTCTGCACAGCTCCTGACAGGAGCCTGGAGCCAGGGGGGGGTCGGGCTCTGCTCCCAGGGAACAAGGGACAGGACAAG